CTTAGCCTTGGGAACTTCCCACCAAGGGCCTTGGTATTTTTCCACTATTACTTTCCTTTCTCGCCCCTCTCCCCCGCCCTACCAAAACCACGTTTTAAAAGAAACACCAAAGTTCAATAAAGGAGACACTTGACCGGCAACCGTCTGCTTGTGTCCTTTCTCTCTCTCCCCCATCTTTTTCAGGATTGACCCCCTTCGCCCCCACAAATAACTGAGTCCCGCGGGGCGGGACAGTCTTAATACTTTCCACCTCTGCCTCCAAGATTAATATTGTCAAAGGACAGAGAAACAAAATGGCAGGATATGTACAGACCTGCATTGCACATTTTAGATTGCTTCTCAGAGGGTATGGACTAATTAAATAGAATTGAGACTTGGATGTTAACCTAAGGGTCAGGAATTTGTAACTTCTAAAGAGAGATATTCAGCAGGAATAAAAGGAGTGAATGAGTCTCCACAGGGATGGGTAGCTCTTGGTATTCCTGAAGTTGAATACTTTGATTGGGCAAATGATGGGCTCTCGATGTCTGCTGTTGCTACTTCCAGCTCAGTTATTCTAAGACGTCTTAAAATGACAGACTGTCCAGAGGAACTGTTGCAGTTCCTGTCCACTCAGGTGCATAGAGGCGTACTTTCATCTGTTATCTGTCATCTATCTATAGGCATGAATCCTCCAAGTGGGTGCTAACTGCTGTAAACGGGTTTTTGGGACAATGTAGTTACTGTGCATAACATCTGTGTTCATAACATCTGTGTTCCAGGAAATAGACTGCTCTGGTGTATTCTTGAATTATTTGCTCCTTTTTCTTCTCTTTTTCAATATTAATTGTAAGACAGTGTCTTATTGCATGCCTAGCATATTCTAAGAATCCATTTTCACAATTTTATTTAGATCTCTAGCAGCCATGTCAGATGGCTTCTATTACTACCCCACTCCTTGCCACAAAGACATTGAAGCATTGGCTCTGGTCACAGTACAAAGCTCAGATTTGTAATCTAGCAGGCTGCTTCCCTAATATACATTTTAGCCCATCTTTTAAGTCTGCTTCCTACAAGTGGAAAACAATGCCACTGCCATGAGAATACTCATCTGGGTGCTGTGATTTGACCAATGCCCCTCACCAGCTATATGCTGAAGGTCTAGTCCCAGTCTATGGTGCTTTTGGAGGTGGTGGGGTCTGTAGGAGTTGAAGTACAGGGAAGGGAGTTATGTCATTGAGACTGTGCATCTCAGTTGGGGTTACTATTGCTGTCATGAAATACCATGACCAAAAGCAACTTTGGGAAGGAAGAGTTTATTTGGTTTACATATTCCAAATCACAGTCCATTGAGGGATGCCAAAGCATGAACTTAAACCAGGCAGAAACTTGGAGGTAGTACTTGATGCAGAGGCCACTTAAGACTGCTACTTACTGATTTGGTCCACATCATGTGCCCAGCCTGCTTTTTCATAGAATCCAGGACATCATCCCAGCAATGTACCACCCATAATGGATAATGGGCCAGGCCCTTTTCCATCAATCACTAATTAAGAAAATGCCACATAAGCTTGCCTGCCTAAAGCACAGTCTTATGGAGACATTTTTTTTTCAATGGAGGATTCTTCCACCCACATGATTTTAGCTTATATCAAGCTAACATACTAAAACTAGCGCGGATATACAATGAGAGGGATATTGGGACTCTAGGCCCTTCTTTGTTTTTTTGTTTGTTTGTTTGTTTTTAATAGAAACAGGTGAGCACCTTTTCCACCAAACACTGGGCCTCCACAGGCAAAAGAATCTTCTACTTTCTTATGATTAACCCAATGCTAATACTCTATGCCAAATGGCTTAATAAGATTCTTACTACAACCTGAAATGTTCTTCCTCTATGAGCATCATTCTTTTACCTGTGTGTGTGTGTGTGGTTTGAATGATGGAATCTGGACCTCATGTATGCTATTCAGGAAGTCTATCACTTACTTATATCCCATACCACTATCACTTTAAAAACTATTTTTGGTGGGGGTAATGGCATGGGGAGGGGAAGGCATGTGAGCTGGAGAAATGGCTTGGTGGTTAAGAGCACTGGTTTCTCTTAAAGAGGACCTAGATTCAACTCCCAGCACCCAGATGATAGCTCACAACAATCTGTAAGTCCAGTTTCAAGGGACCCATACCCTTTTTTGGCTTCTGTGGACACAGGTAAAACATTCATACATAAAATAAATTAAGCCTAAATCAACACAACAACAAAACAAATAACATATTTTTGTTAGCTAAGGTAATTTGAAATTTATTCTTGTCTGTTAAAGAGCCAACAACCCCACTCCTCTTTCAAAATTAATAGCCTGTTTTCTTATATTTTTGGTTGTGAGTCTAGCCTTAATAGCTGAGCCATGGGCTGGAGAGATGTCTCAGAGGTTAAGAGCACTGACTGTTCTTCCAAAGGTCTTGAGTTCAATTCCCAGCAAACACATGGTGGCTCACAAGTATCTATAATGAGATCTGATGCCCTCTTCTGGCCTGCAGGTGTATATATGCAGGCACAATATATATATATATATATTTTTTTTTGGTTACTGGTCCTTTTATTTCTCTTTTTATCCCATCTTCTGGCTTCTGGTACTATTCTTCTGGGTATTTGTTTATTATTATTATTATTATTATTATTATTATTATTATTATTATTATT